TGAGCCTATAGTTCACAAGCCTAGAGAAGCTAAATAACAAGGCGAACCCAAAGAAAAACATATATAGATCCTCCGGAAATTGGAAGCAAACAAGATGGGGGGGCAAAAGTTGGGAGCATGGGGGTGGGAGTAGGGGTGGAGGTGAGGATGGGGGAAGAGAGAGAGGGAGAGAGAAGGGAGAAAGGAAAGACTGAGGAGAGCTTGGGAAGTGGGAGGGTGGAGATGGAGGAAGGGCGGATATAGGAGCAGGAAAGAAGATATCTACATTAAGGGAGCCATTTTAGGATTGGCAAGAGACTTGGAGGCATCATCTTGTAAGAGATATTGGACTCAAGTAACCGTGGACTGAAATTCTTTTCTGTGATTTCTCTTAGGTATTTAGTATAGCAAAGGAAAGCAGACTATCAGATTCTTTATTCTTCACTATCTCATTTTATAGTCTTCTTATGGAACTGACTACAAGTCTGATATCCTACTGTAGCTCTTCTTACTCTCATTCTGAAGGGCAATGATGATAATTCTTTGATATCTCAACATTTCACATTTAAATTAAATGCCGTTTGAAAGACAAGATTGCTATCTCTGGATGCCCTGCATGTGTGCGTGCGTGCGTGCGTGCGTGCGCGCGCACGCACGCGTGTGTGTTTGTGTGTGTGCGTGTGTGTGTGTGTATGAACACACATGCAAGTATTGCAGAGCGATTTGTCATACTAGAGATCAAACCCAGGGTGCCTCATATGCTAAGCCTATGTTCTATAGCTGAGTATATCCATAGTCTTACATTTTTTGTATGGATTCTATCCTATCAGATCTTGAAGCTAGTTGCCATTTTAAAATAATTACTCACCCGGTAAATATTTAAATGCAGCCAACATTACTTATTTTGTTTTCTCTTTGCACCAGCTGCTATTACTGAGAATTTTTGAAGTAATTAATTTTTAAAAAACACAGGAGCCTGTGTACCTCATAGTTGGCATGGAACTTCGATATGTAGCCAGTGACAACCATGAATTCCTAATCTTCCTGCTTCACCTCCAAAGTACTGCAAATAACCATCAGGACTGACTTAATTTAATTTTTTGGCAGGATCTCATGTATCTTAGGGGATCTGACATGTCACTGTGTGGTTGAGGATGGCTTTTAACTTGTAATCATATTTCTTTTTTCATTTCCCCAGTGATAGACTTACAGGCATGTATTACTACAATGCCCAGTTTATTCAGTGTTAGGAAATGAACCTAGGGCTTCGTTTATGAATCCACCTATGCGAATTAAACCGCTTCACCAGTCTCTTGAAATTCTTTTGGATCTTCTTTATCCAACACAGATATGCTATTTTCTTTATTCTCTTCTCTTGTCTTTTCTCCTCTCTCTCTCTCTCTCTTGTATTGTTCTGATGTTGTTGGGTTTTTTTTTTTTTTTGAGACAAGGTTTCTTTGTGTAGCCCTGGCTGTTCTGTAACTCTTTCTGAACTCTCTCCATACATTAGGCTAGCCTTGAACTCAGAGATCCAACTGCCTCTGCCTCCCGAGTGCTGAGATTAAATATGTGAACCACCACTGTCTGGGAAGAAATGCTATTTCCAAAACCATTTTTGTTTTTAGACGCACAATGGAATTCATGTTACATCCACAACAGCATTTTTTCTTAGTGTAGACTTAGATGCGCAGAGATTTTATAAAACTTCTTCAAGAATATTTATTCTTTCTTTATGAGTATAAGGTCAAGAGTCCCTCTAACATTCAAAATAGAAATTTTAAAAAGCTGGAAAAATAATTAATAATCAATAGGCTAGATATTACTGAAAAGTCACGATTCCCTCTAACATTCAAAATAGAAATTTTAAAAAGCTGGAAAATAGTTAAATCAATAGCCTAGATATTCCTGAATATCTAGAAAATCGATGTTGCTTAGCCAAACAGCTGGAGAGTCGAAGGTGTTTGTCAAATACTCAGCAATTGCCTGGCTGGGTAGGGAAACACATGCCTGTCATTTTTGCACTCCAGAATCTGAGAGGAGTCCAAAGTCAACCTAGGTTATTTGATGAGTTTTAAGCAAGGCAAGGCTACACAGAGAGACATGGTCTCAAATCAAACAGTAGTAACAATAAAGACATAACCTGAAGCTGATGGAGTTTAAATTTTTTTAGACAGGCTTGTCTTAGTACCCTGGGCACTACAATTTCAGATTGAAAAGTCTAAATTAGACTGATTCAGAAGACAGTTTTTACTCTTTTTAATTTAAATTATTTCATAATTTCATATATGAGTACTTATAGCATTTTTCTCCTCCCACTCTTCCTATGCCCCCTCACTCAAATTCATAACCTCTTCTTCAATTATTGTTATTATGTAAATATACATACATATGTATACACAATACAACTTTCTGAATCCACTTAGTATTGTGTAAATATGTGTCTGTGTGTATACACACACACACATATATGTCTAGGGATTACACACATATATGTTTAGGAAAGACCTATATATGTATATATACACATGTGTGTGTATATGTGTGTGTATATATATGTATACACATATATAGGTTTTTGGAAGATACACACACACACACACACACACACACACACACACACACACACATATATATATATATATATATATATATATATATATATATATATGTTTAGGGAAGGCCATGTGGGATTGAATAACCTTATCAGAGAACTCATCCTGTAGAAGGTTGAATCTTTCTCTCTAAGTGCCACTAATCACCTATAGCTCTTCATCAAGGGATAATGTCTTATGAGACTTCTTTGATGCAAAGACAATTTGTGTTGTCATTGTGCTGGTATTTTTAAGACAAAGATATTGTTGAGATTTCATAGTTGTAGCTTCCCTGTCATATATAGAAGACACTGTCTCATAGCAGATATCCTTGCCCTCTAGCTTTTATACTCTTTCTGACCCTTCTTCTGCTATATTCCCAGAGGTTTAGGTATAAGGGATATGTGTAGTTGTATCAGTTGGGAATGGGCACCCCAGGGTCATTTGATCTCTGCATTTTGACCACTTGTGGATTTCTGTAGTGATCTGTACTGGGGATTTTGTTAAGTCACTGCTGTAGGAAGGCTTGCAGTTTGTGGTTACCCGCCTACTGGGTGCGTGGCCTCTTATACTATATATGTGGATGCAGAGCCTGCATCTGGCCCTTTTTTTCCCTCCTTTTAGCCGGCTGCTCATTCGGATTATTGGATTGCTGGATTCGATCTATGTCCTCTGTTCAAGCAAAGAAATCTGATCTGTGAGTTTACCCCTAAATAAATACTATCTATTTCTGAGCTAGTGTGGGATTTCTTTTAAGCGCCCATTCACTTGGTCCATTCATCAAGTCACTGAATATTAGGGATAGCATTGTCACTTTGTGTTTTGTAACTTGATTTTAACTATATTAAAAAGCTGGGCAGTGGTGGTGCACGCCTTTAATCCCAGTACTCGGGAGACAGAGGCAGGTGGACCTCTGTGAGTTCGAGGCCAGCCTGGTCTACAAGAGCTAGTTCCAGGATAGGCCTCAAAGCTACAGAGGAATCCCTGTCTCAAAAAAAAAACAAAAAAGAAAAAAAACTATATTAATATATTATATAACAAATATATACATATATTTTATTTAAATAATCAAAATAATGTTTCCCTGTGGCTTTTTTTGTGTTTTTTTTTTTATTAAAAAATTTCCACCTCGGGGCTGGAGAGATGGCTCAGCAGTTAAGAACACTGGTTGCTCTTCCAGAGGTTCTGAGTTCAATTCCCAACAACCACATGGTGGCTCACAGCCATCTATAATGAGATCTGGTGCCCTCTTCTGGCATGCAGGTACACATGGAACGAATGTTGTATACATAATAAGTAAATAAATAAGTCTTTAAAAAATAAAGAAAGAAAGTGTGTCACTGTGGGGGTGATCTTGGAGGGCTCAGATGCTCAAACTAGGCCTACTCATTCTTAAAAATAAATAAATAAATAAATAAAAATAAAATTTTCCACCTCCTCCCATTTCCCTCCTTCTCTTCCTCTCCCCCTCCCCCTCCCTCTTCTGTCCAAAGAGCAGTCAGGGTTCCCTGCCCTGTGGGAAGTCCAAGGTCCTCCCACCTCCATCCAGGTCTAGGAAGGTGAACATCCAAACAGACTAGGCTCCCACAAAGCCAGTACATGCAGTAGAATCAAAACCCAGTGCCATTGTCCTTGGCTTCTCAGTCAGCCCTCATTGTTAGCCACATTCAGAGAGTCCAGTTTGATCACATGCTCCATCAGTCCCAGTCCAGTTGGCCTTGGTGAGCTCCCATTTAGATCAGCCCCACCATTTCAGTGGGTGGGTGCACCCCTCGAGGTCCTGACTTCCTTGCTCATGTTCTCTTTCCTTCTGCTCCTCATTTGGACCTTGGGAACTCAGTCCAGTGCTCTAGTGTGGGTCTCTGTCTCTATCTCCATCCATGGTTAGATGAAGGTTCTATGGTGATATGCAATATATCAGTGTGGCTATAGGATAGGGCCAGTTCAGGCACCCTCTCCTCAGCTGCCCAAGGAACAAGCTGGGGACATCTCCTTGAACACTGGGAACCCCTCTAGAGTCAAGTCTCTTGCCAACCCTAAAATGGCTCCCTTAATTAAGAATAAAGGACATTGAGCCTATAATTCGTGATCCTAGAGAAGCTAAATAAGGTGAACCCAAAGGAAAACATAGTTATCCTCCTGGATATTGGAAGTAGACAAGATTGCCAGGCAAAAATTGGGAGCTTGGGGGTGGGGGTGAGGTGGGGGTAAGGGGAGATGGAGAGAGAAGGGAGAAGGGGAGGATGGGGGGAGCTTGGGGGAATGGGACAGTTGGGATGGAGGAAGGGTGGATATGGGAGCAGGGAAGTAGATATCCCTGTGGCTTTTTCAAACTGCCTTAGCATTATCTATTTCTCTTTCCTCTTTCTCCCTCCGTATTGTCCCCTCTCCCCACTCAAAGCCTGTTCATTTTTCTCTTTTTCCCTCTAGAGCACCTGCGTCCTACTATTTCTTGTTATGCAATTACTGCTCCCCATTCCGCCTCCATAGTGTCTTATTGATTTCCTGGTGTACGCAATTAATACAGGTAATAAAATCACATCTAAAGCTTAGGAGCTAGGATCCACAAACAAGAGAGATTGTGTAACATGTGTCTTTCTGGGTCTGGGTTATTCCACTCACTGTGATATTTTCTAGTCCTATTCTTTTACCTGAAAATTTGATGATTTAATTTTCCTTCATAACTGAATAGAATTTCAGTACATAAATATGCCACATTTTCATTATTTATTCATTGCTTAAAGGATATTTATGTTGATTCCATTTGCTAGCTATTATGAATAAAGCAGCAATGAACATGGCTAAGCAAGTATCCGTGGAGTAGAATGTCTTGTCCTTAGGGAATATGCCCAGGAATGGTATAGCAGGATCATATGGTAAACCTATATTTAGAGGTTTTTTTTTTTTCTTTTTCTTTCTTTCTTCTTCTTCTTCTTTTTTTTTTAGAGTTCTCCCATACTGATTTCCATAGTGGCTTCTCCAGTTTGCAATCCCAACAGCAAATGAGGGATCTCCTTTCCCCTAAACCTCTGCTGCATTTGTTGTCAGCTGTCGCTGTTCTGAATGAGGTAAGATAAAAATCTCTAACAAGTTTTAATATACACTTCTCTAGTTTCTAAGGATGTTGGTCACATTTTGAGCTCTTTGTAAACCATTTTTCTTTCTCTTTTCGAGAACAGTCTGTTGAGACCCATACCCCATTTTAGTTGGACCATTTGTTGACTTTATTTTTCAATTCCTTTGTATATCCTTAATATTAACCCTTTGTCATATTTATTGCTGGCAAAGATTCTCTCCTACTTGGTGGGCTTCCTCTTCACACAATTGATGATTTCCTTTACTATATAGAAGATTTATTGTTTTATGAGTTTCCATTTGTCAGTTGTTGTCATTAACTCCTAAGTCAGTTGAGTCCTATTTAGAAAGTCTTTTTTGTTCCTATACCTTATAGGGTATGATTATGTTTCCTCTAACAGTTTCAGCATTTCAGATTTCATAATGAGACCTTGGATCCCCTTGGATTTTGTTTTTGTGTCTAATTTCATTCTTCTATGAATAGACATCTAGTTCCCTAGGATCATTTACTGAGGATGCTGTCTTTCCTCCAGTATGTATGTTTGGTATCTTTGTCAAATATTATATGTTTTTAATTTTGCATATTTATATCTGAGGCTTCTATTTCATTCTATTGATTTATATGTCTGTTTTTGTGCAAGTACCAGTATGTCTTGAAGTCTAAATGGTAATCCCTCCAGCATTACCCAATTTGTAGAACTGTTTGGGAAGGATGAAGAAGTGTGTCTTTATTGGAGGAGATGTGTTAGAAGGTCCATGCCATTCCTGTTAGCTCTGTCTCTGTCTCCTCTGTCTGGCTCCCTCTCTTTATCTCTCTCAGCCTTGTGTCTGTGGATCAGGATTTAAGGTCTCAGCTAGTACTCTAGTGCTATGTCTGTCTCTCTGCTGTCTTGCTCTCCATCATGATTATCCTGAACTCTAAGCATATGGAACTGTGAGCCTCCAAATTAAATGCTTTCTTTTATGAGTTGCCTGGGTCATGGTGTTTTGTTATGGCGATTGAAATGTAGGGAAGGCACCCGCCCTGTTTCATTTCATTTCTTTGAGTTTCTTTTCCATTTAGGATGATGTCAGCCATGGATTTGTCATTTATAGTCATTTTATGTTGAGGTATGTTCCTTCCAGTCCTACTTTCTCTAGGACTTTTACCATGAAGGCATTTTGAATTTTGTCAAACAAACGCTTTTCTGCAACTTCTTAGTCTCTCATGAGATTTTTATTCTTAAGTTTATTTATATGATTTAGTACATTTATTAGCTTGCCTGTATTGGACTTTCCCTTAACCTCTTGGATAAAGCCAACTTGATCCTGCTAGATGATATCTTAAAAATACGCCCCTATTTAATTTGCAAGTATTTTATTAAGGATGCTATTATCTACATTCATCAGAGACATTGGATGGTAATTTTTCTTTTATCTTTCTTTTGTTTTGGTAACCAAAAAGACATCATAATCCTAAACATATAAGTGCAGAACTCTGGGGCACCCAGTGTTACAAAAAGTAGGTTAGTGGATTCAAAGACACAGATAAACTCTAACTCATGGAAAATTGGAATAGACAGGTCATCTGAACAAAAATCAACAGAAATAATTCAATAAAATTATTCATCAAATTGACCTAACAGGTATTTAAATTCCATTCCACATAAACACCAAAAAATATCCATTGTACTCGTGTGCTAGATAGGATTTATGTCAACTTGACATGAGATATTTATTTGAAAAGAGGAACCTCAGTTGAGGAAATGTCCTCACCAGATGGAACTGTGGGCAAGCCTGTGGTGCATTTTCTTGCTTGATGATTGATGTGGGAGGGCCCAGCTCACAGTTGGCAGTGCCATCTCTGCTCTGTATAGTTCTAAGTGCTTTAGGAAAGCTGGCTTTGCAAGCCATGGGAAGTGAGCCAGTAAGTAGCCATCCTCTATTTCTCCTTCAGTTCCTGCCTCTAGGTCCCTGTCTTGACTTCCTTGGATGATAGACTATAAATTCTAAGATGAGATAAACCTGTTCCTCTCCAAGTTGCTTATGGCCATGTGTTTTATCACAGGAGTGGAAACCCTAACTAAGTCAACTCAGCAGCCCATGAAAGCTTCTTTAAAATAGATCATGGACACAAGGCAAATGTTAGCAAATTCAGAAAAATGGAAATATCTTTGTGTATCCTTTTAGGTACAATCCAGTAGAGCTTGAAATCAGCAGCAAATTGAATCTCTAGAAAGTATACAAACTAATGGAGATTAAATAATGTATTATTGAACGATTAATAAGGCAAAGGAAAAGTTAAGAAAAAAATTAAAAGAAATCTTAGAATTAAATAAAAATTAAAATACAACACATTAAAACCTCTAGGACACATTAAAGGCTGTCCTAAGAAGGAAATGAATAGCTCTAAGTAACCACATTTGATATTTAGAAAGAGTACAAATAAACGACTTAATGGTACAACTCAAGAGTTTGAAAAACAAAAAACCAAACCCAAATCCAGTAGATGGTAAAAAATAATAAAAATTAAAACAGAAATTAATGTAATAGCAACAAAGAATACAAAGAATCAAAAAAATCTAAATGGTGCTTTGAGAACATAAACAAGATCAACAGTGACCCTTGGCCTAGTTGACAGTAACAATAACAATAAGAATAAAAGCAAATGACTCAAATTAGCTGAAAGAGAGATGAACAGGGGAACATTACAACAATCACTAAAGAAATTAAGAATAAGGTAAAATAAATGAATAAATTCATCTCAAATACCAAGGTTAAGCCAAGAAGACAACATAAACAGATACATAACAAATAGAGATTGAAACACTACTAAAAGAGCCCAGGCCCAGATAGATTTACAGAAGAATTCTGTAAGACTTTCAGAGATTTAAAACTAATGCTGTTTAAGTTATTTTTTTTTTGTTGTTTTTTGTTTTTGTTTTTCGAGACAGGGTTTCTCTGTGGCTTTGGAGCCTGTCCTGGAACTAGCTCTTGTAGACCAGGCTGCTCTCGAACTCCCAGAGATCCACCTGCCTCTGCCTCCCGAGTGCTGGGATTCAAGGTGTGCGCCACCATCGCCCGGCTTATTTTATGTTTAAGTTATTAAAAAAGAAACTGAAGCAGAAGACACAATATCAGATTGTTCTATAAAGTCAGACTTCAGTTCTATAAGAATTACCTACAAATTGAAGTTAAAAATTAAAAAATCCTCCTATTGTATTTCTTGTTCTAAAATGTCATATACATAAAATGCATACTTGCTGCTCTTGAAGAGGACGCTGGTTTGGTTTTCAGCACCCACATGGTGGCTCACAACTGTCTGTAACTATAATAGAAAGGATACAATACCCTCTTCAGTTCCCACAGGCTCTGTGTGCAAATGGCACACATACAGACAAACACACACACACACACACACACACACACACACACAGAGAGAGAGAGAGAGAGAGAGAGAGAGAGAGAGAGAGAGAGAGAGAAAGAGAGAGAGAGAGAGAGAGAATAAATGAATAAAACATAAAACCTTTCTTAAAACCGAAACGGTACTTTCTTTCTCTCCCCTCGTTTTGGTTTCTTCTTGGTACTCAGGACTAAATTCAAGGCCTTAATTTAAGGCAAAGCAAGTATACTACAGCTGATTCACTTCCCAAGCCCCCTTTCCATTTCTTTTTAAATTTTGAAGTAAAATCTCACTAAGTTTCCCAGATCAAATCTTCCATGAATCCCAGGCAGTCCTCAAACTTGCGATCCTTCTGCCCCAGCCTCCAGGGTAGCTAGGGTTACGGAGTGTATGATTATGCGCAGCTTTCTTTTTGTATTCAATACTAAAGTAGCAGGAGCAACAGGAATAAGTCAAAGGGAAGAAATACAGAGGAGACTATTAAAATCGGCCATATAAAATCAAGTTAAGCAATAAAGTTTCAATACTTTCTACAACAAAAAGTCAGGACCAGAAAGATGGCTAGCTGGGTATTTGCAATCAAGCTTGATGACCTGGGTTCAGTCTCTAGGACGCACATACTGAAAGGAGTGAACCAGCTTTTGAGGGGTAGAATTTGACCTCTACATATGTATAATGACAATCTCACTCCCATAAAATGTAAAAATTCATTTTTTTAAGAAATGAAAACTTGCTGCTGGAGGCTCCATATTTATTAGAGCATTTCATCTCCAAAGAACTAGATTCTGCCCATTTTTTCTTTGCTGCTATCTGTAATACACCATAACTTCTCTCTTCATGGTCAAAAGAGTGATTCCTGTCCCAGGCAACATGACTATACATGGTACCATTCCAAGCAAAAGAAAGGAGACATGGCAAAAGAATATCTTCCAAATTAAGAAACATTTACAGCAGTGTAAAAAGAAAAGCTTGAAGATAAAAGTGACAAAATCTCTATAAAACAGTACAAGAGAAAAAGATGTTGAAAATTGAAGTGAAAACTGAAGGCATAATTGAGGAAATCCAACATCCCACAACTAGGATCTCTAGAAAGATAATATATAGAAAAATCAATGGCAGGATGCTTTGAATAATTCAACATAACTAAATTAGTCTCAGTGACAGTCTCCAAGCCATTTAGAAGTAGAATACTACAGTTTGAGTATGATTTAATTAAGTAAGCCCCAAGGGACCATTAGAGTGAAGATTTGCTCTATAGGATGGTGCTGTTAGGAGGTGGATCTGAGGAAGAAATATTTAGGATCATGGGGGCCATGAGGTAGTCCATGTATGATCTCTTGAGTTCTTGTAGGAAAAATGCTATAAAAAGAGTAAGCTTAGTGGGGTGATGGTGGTGCACACCTTTTTTTTTTTCTCTCTCAGCACTCAGGGAGGAAGAGGCAGATGGATCTCTGTGAGTTCAAGGCCAGTCTGATCTAAAAAGTTAGTTCCAGGACAGTCAGAGATACACAGTGAAA